CCGTACAATAGTAGAGAAAAGCTACCAACTCACACGATAAGCTCGTAGCTTTTCTCAGCTATTGTACGAATAAAACATGATGTTGTTCGGGCCAATCCAGGGTTATCTAGGATCCTCTCTTGTATGACCCGAACAATAGTATGTTTTATCCGTACAATAGGAGTGTATCGAAATGGGGTCCCCTCCCAGTTGATCGCACCCATATACATTTTACAGAACATGACTTGAAACTGCGGTTGCTTTCGCATTAAAAAAAGTAAACATTAAAAAATGATGTGATCAAACAATTTATAGTTGGTAAATATTATTTTTTCTGCTTCTGAAATAATGTCATCGCTGTAAAACTGTGCACATAATTCTTCACATACGGATTGTTTGCACAAGATTGTGTGAGTGTCTCTTCTTTTACTATTAATCAATCACTCATAAATCTGAAGTGTTGTTAGTGGACCTATCAACATGCATACTGATACGTCAATTATTGTAGGAATCTGACAGTGGGTATTCTCACTGTTGGTATCCATTACTCAGTTATATGTTACACCTTGATTGGTTAAATTTAGAATTGTAAATAAATTGTTTACTGATTTAATGCTTTATTATCTTTTTGTATATCTTGTGATCGAGGTTTTCGCTCCTTTATAAGCTAATGTATAGTTTAAGAGAGGAAAAACAAGAGATGAAACTGGAGATTTAAAGCAATTGAATAAATATCATTCAGTAGAATTGCGGCAAGGTCATACATCAATTGCCTCTAAGCATGAAGAATGTTTATTCTGCAAATTAAACACAAACGTTCTCTTTCTCTTCCTTCTTCTGCACGTCTGTACAAGAAGTCAATTATATTATTGGTAATTGTGTATGCGCACAACAGTTGTAACATTCTTTCACCTTGTATTCTTCTTGACTACAGAAAAAAACCAGCCACCTCTCCTTCTATCACTTCCAGCATGTAGAATTATTAGTTTTCTTCCAACATGCCTGCAAATGTTTGCCCAACCGCAGGTTTTCATGGTAATTTGGCCGTCATTACTACGCTGCCCAAAACTCATACAAGGAATCAAGAATTTTTAATAAAATATTGCAGCATCTTAGAGTATTATCGATAGTATGTAGAATTGAAATAGATAATTCAGAAAAATTTATCAGATACGTTCGTGCACAGTGAAGTTAGGCGAGTCAATTAGTTTGTCTTATAATTGTTTTCACAAATCTCGTCCCTCATAGGTGCAATTGAAGTGAAAGCCGATGTTTGTATAATCTCTTCATAGCTATAGTTGAGACATTTTCTTGGCTCTGAAGAGACATATCATGATTTATTCTAATGTTGATGGTTGTCATAGGAAGGCTTGGCTTTAGTTATCTAGACTGGGCAGAATATCTGTCGTCTATCTGGCCACTTTGTTTTATGCTGATGAAATTGAAGATGATGAGGTGACTTGTGCTGCTTGATCTACTAGGCACAGCATCACAAGTTTATATTTCCATTTTTACACTTTTGTGCTATGTGACACTGATTCTTTGGATGCATATTTTCAGTACAGCTAGTTCTTCTTTTCGATTTTTACTACTGTGTAGAGAGAACCCAATAAAGATGGTTAAAATTGAAAGTCATCTTATAGAATGATTTTGACTTGAAAACAAATTCTGGTGTTCAACTCAGCTTAGACTCGTATTTGTCAGTAAGATGTACGGAGCTCGCTAACAATTAGATTAACAAATGTTTGATACTTGAAATGTAATGCTGCAATGAGAAAAACAATGAAGTACATAAAGAACTGTTATAAACATTAGGAAAGTATGATAGACACTAAAAGCTACTTCACTGAATGGACATATCTTGATCTTCAGTGCAACAGTTTATATAATGCACTATTGAATATTGTAAACTACAGTTCACATGATAACAAAACAAGTCAGAATCGTCCGAAGTTTAGTTTTAGATTTTCATATGCTACATGTCCCTTAAAACATTCTATTGTGTAAATACAAAAGTCTAAATATAAAGGTCCCCAGCAATTTGGACTATGACTAATCACACGAGTGTGATATGCATGTGAACAGATGAGATGAAATCAAAAGACGTTATGACATGGACAGAGACGCAATAGTCTTCGAAAAAAAAGGTGAGGTCTAATACAAATTGTATTGAATCTTCAAATGTCAAATTTTACTTATACGTCGAGATAACATTTAAAAAACCTGCTATTGATTAAATATCATAGTATGGTCTTGACGGCCTGAAACAGTAGACAAATTCAAACTTGGTTATAATGTTTTCTTTTTATCGTAGACGAACTGTTTCATGTGTATTAACTCTAAATATATTTCCTTGTTCAAAACACACCATGTCTTTAAATCGTCAGCTCGTTTTATATGCGCTGAGCTCGTTAAACAACACTGCCCGTGCATACAGCAACTGACGTCCAAATTGATGCACCTGACGCCTCTCGTCACTTCATTAAAGACAAAGTTTGCAATTCTTTAGCTTTTAATGCATGATTGTCTACTTGATTTAGATCGATTTTGTCAACGATTCGATCTTATAGTAATACGCTTACTTTTGAAATAGTCAGAAATATGTACCAGAATAATGATGAAACAGTGATATTGTGCAACAAAATTTTTACTCACTTATACATTACGTTAGAGTGCGTCATAAAAAATTTATTTTCATTCGCGCTCATTAAAGAACACTTTTTTTATTAGTTTGATAAAATATGTCAAAACCCTCAATACCTAGAAATAATCTTGTTTAGTTCAAAGCGCAAAGAAGCATACGATCAATCGAAACGCAATCTTTTAAAAAATAAATGTGACCGAAATGTATGAAAAAATGAAAAACGACTTAAAGCTTAATGTCATTTGTTCCATATTCGTATGTGTGTGAGCGCATACATGCTCATATATGATTACAAATGATGTCTCGACCAATTCCTCGTAATACAAAGGCTTGAAATTCTTCATAGTTTAATTCCCCATCAAAATTCTGGCCAGCCTTTCTTATATATTCATGCAGAATGTTGACATCAATCGATTCATTAAGAATCGACAAGATTGCGCTGAATTCCTTAATATTAAGTATTGTCGATCCATCCTGATCCAGAATCGTAAATGCACGCTTGAGTTCATTATCTTTATAGTAACCCATAATGATTGGACGTATAGCATCGACGAACGCATCGAATCCTATTGGTCTTCGCAACTTACTAGTAAGTGATTGATATTGATCTCGTGTTATGCTCCAGTCATATGATCGATAACGCTTTTCTCTTTTATGTCGAGTTAGACCAGATAATGTTGGTGTCGAAGTCATTGTAGCACATTCATCAAATTGAAACTCAGCTGTTAGAGCTTCTCCGTAGCGATTACGATGAACAATTTCAGTAACTGTATATTCGACATCCATTTTGCTTTAATAAGAATAAACACGTCAGCACACGGCGGTGGTAGGAGCACACTGCAAAGTGACAATGCTTTTTTCAAATTATTTTTGCTTTTGCCTTGCAACCAACCGTTGAAAAAAGTTTAGCTGTTCTGTTTCTCTATTAAAGGTTTCTGCTTACACAATCATGTTTATAACACCTTTCAAAAAATTTACCGATGCTGAAAAATGTATTTCACGATACTCTTGTTTTATATATTATAAAAGTATATTCGTCTATCAATTGAATAATAAAAAATATTCGCTGCTACAATTTGTGATCTTGAAATTGTAACATATTATTGATCCCTTCCGAAACCTAAAAATAGCTTTCGTGTGTGGTGTGCATGTGGGTGTGGAGTGAAGCTGTAGGCAGGAATGAAAGAAAACCCATATCCATCCGCACACCCATTCGTTACTGTCATCTATACATTTGACACAACACCATTATATCCATATAGGAAACTATGCGAATGCTATACATTACATTTATGCACGATTGACAGTTTTGATCAGAAGAAGATTTAATAATGATGAATTTAATCCTTTCGCACAGATGTTTTCTTAATTCGATACACCATAAATTCTTCTTGTGTATTGAATTAAAATATTTTTTGAACAATTTATCTAACGACATCGTCATGTCTTTTTGTAAAAAAATTGGTATCGCCTCTTCGCCTTTCAGCAACTTTTCCTTCACATTTATGAAGGATACAGAGCTGCGCATAGGATGGGCCTAGCCAAACAACGTTGGCCGATGAAACATCCATCTAGTTATAAATTTTCTCAAAGATAATTTGACTTGCCATGCTAGCCAAAATTATTTATTATTGTTAAGGTCTTGTCTTAACTAGGCAAGTAATGCTGCATCGAGTTCGCACTATATTTACATGCGTCCTCACCTATTATTTTTATTCATCAATCAGAAGTCAGAGCTTGGCACTAAAATATAGTGAAAGTGCTCAATTCTAGCACTTATAATAAAAAGAATTATCGCCTCAGTTTTATCTCGACAATGCAAAAATCAATTGCGAACTGGGTTGCCAAGATATTTATTGTTCTAGTTATGCGTATAACGAGTGTGGTAGATTAAATTACCGGCTTTCATCAACTAAATTCGAATTAATTATTTAGTTTAGTTTTCCGAAGAAAATATACCATTGAATAGAGCAAATCAAGCGGCACAAATTCGTATTACTAGCTAGTTTTACACAAGCTTTTTTGTTTAGAAATTTCGAAAATATAACGTGCTCAAAAATTACTTCTGCTCGTGCTTGCATAATTATTAGACAAGTCTTACATATCTTGTAATTTTTGTTGTGAGATTTTGATCTTTTGAATTTTCAATCAGTTAAAAAATGGTGTCACATATATAATCACCTAATATGTTTATATCAATATATGTTGCTAGATAGTAGCCTTTCACAACAAAAGCTTGCAAAAGACGTACGATGCGTATAAAAATGAACTAACAAGATATGCCAGTTTCAAGCATGTTGTGTTTTCAAAAGTTCTAAACATGAAAATGCTTCTATCATATTTGTTTGTCGTAGGCAAATACAGATCTGTATTCGCTATATATGCTGATGTACTTTATCATAGAAGTAAGATTAATGCCTACATCAGAATACAGTGTGTCAAGATTGTTAATTTGATCTATCTTATTTCCTATCACATCTTCGACAGATTTACAAGCGAGCAGGAGTAGTTTTTCAACATGTCAAATTTTCGAAATTTGTAAACATGAAAAAACTTATTTAGAATTAGCTGGTTATATGAATTTGTGCAGCTTGATTTGCTCTATTCATCTGTCTCACCCGTTAGAATTAGAATGAGTCAAGCAATGTGGAAATTGAATGCAGTTTACGCTTTATGATTGGCACCAGAGGTGCATATGTACTATGTTCTGCAGAATGAATCACTACAATTAAAGCTGCTTACGACGTTTCAAGATTTGTAATCTGTACTTGAACTGAAGCTTGTTAAGCAGCAACATTTACAGGACACTGTCGTGATTATGCTAAGTATCGAAGGAAATAAAATACATTCCATTGAAACAAGAAACATAACGTTGCTCTTCGTATCAGGAAATTTCACTGATAAATGAGAAAGTCAATATGAATGATTACTGATTTTTATATGTCCTCTTTTATAGAGCGAAAAAGGAAGTATTGCTTGACGTCATTGCATGTATTTGTTTTGTTGCAAGGTTCTCTATACATAGATTGTTTACATTTGTGTATCAGAATAAGCAGGCTCAAAATCAAGCTGTTGTGAATATTCCAGCTTTGCAGATTTATTTGCCAAGTTATTGTCAGTGGCTCCCCATTACTTTATGGAAACGTTGTAGCAAAAAAGAAGCGATTAAGAAAAACAAGATACTTTCGGCATGTCATCTCAGAAGCAATGCAGATCAATATTTTGTTTTCGGCATCAATATACTCGTTCATCACTTACGTTTCACAGATGAGATCCACAAAGTCAAATATGGCAGGACATATTGACAAAAAAAACAAAATTTTCATGATGAAACAGCTCCCGTAGAAAAGGCTGGATGTATGAAGTATGAGTATCCCTGTACGTGTGAATGAGCAAATGATTCTTCCATACCTCCACACCAACTCATACTCACTCAACCACATCCATACACACACTCGTACAGAGCATTGTTGGAAAAGCTTTTTATAGCCATTTGTTGTCACAAATGAAATAATATGGATTCTTTTGCTATTATGACATTGTTTATTAAGAAAAAAAGTTTAGAGTTTGAGTATGAGTATGAGCCGTCGTATTTTTGTTTTACTGTAGAAATTCTTAGGACGCGCGTGCATCTTACCGATACTCTACATTGTATCAGTCGCTTTTAAAAAGTTGAAACAGTTCTAAACATATTAAATGCCACGAAAATATTGTGCTAAACACAACTGACGACTATCTCTCGACTTTTTGATAAGCAAGTATTGTTATATAGAGGCGTCTACAGCTGGTCATCAGCATATGTTGTTTATATTCAATGATAGCTGTTCGCCAACGTTAACAACTGTTTACAACAAAGAACGAAAGAAAACAATGGTCGTCTATCAAACGGCTTACAGTTGTCACATTCGATGCCATACGATATTATCTGGACAGCGTGTACTGTCGTCGTATTTCTATGTTAATCGTTTAGGATGGCTGTAATATGTCGTAAAGCATTGGAAATAATAGAAAAGATCGGTCATGTATCATGCTCTCTGTTTAACTTATTTATTTTATCCAATTTCTTCGGAAATCATCGATCATTATCAAGTATTATAGTACTATATGATTAGCATTATATGAATCTCTGATAATGGCTCTCTCAATGGCAATGTTATTGTTCCGAATGTTATAAGCGATTTCACCGATTAAGGCCCCCCCCCTCAGAAAATCCATTTTTTGGTAAAGTAATCGAAGTCGAGTTTTTATCATAGGAAGATGCAGCGAAGTTTCCTCTTTCAGAATATATATAAATTTTTAAAAAGAGGCCAAA